CTGCAACCTCCGCCTTCCAGGTTCAAGCAATTCCCTGCCTCAGCCTCCCAAGTAGCTGAGATTACAGGTGCCCACCACCACGTCCAGCTAATTTTTGTATTTTTAGTAGATATGGGGTTTCACCACATTGGCCAGGCTGGTCTTAAACTCCTGAACTTGTGATCCACCCACCTCGGCCTTCCAAAATGCCGGGATTACAGGCATGAGCCACCACACCTGGCCTGTGGTAAGTATTTTTATCTTCAGTTTATATGCGTAGAAACCAAGAATTAGAAAACTTCAGTATGTTGCCCAGTCACTCAGGAAGTGGCAGAGAAAGGATGTTAACCTAGTTCTGTCTGTCTAATTAGACTCTCACAGTCTTCACCATGTTAAGGTGGCTCTCAACTTGGGTGGGATCTCCACAGAGCTAGTGAGGGACATCCCAGAGGCATCTTCTCAATATCCCAGAAAGCCCTCGATAGAGCTGGCTGCTCAGGCTAACCTCAGGAAAGCAAACGTTTTCAATCTGATCAATTGGAAGAGCTGCCATGACTGATTAGCACCATAGTCATAGGGCAGGTGGCGGTGGAGTGTGGCATTCATGCCCTGTGTTCACCAATATTTGACTGACAAAGACATCATGTTCCCTTATGCTGTTAGCTAGAATCTCACCTACTCACAATGTTAATACTGACTATTGTATCTTGATCAAAATGTCTTATTGGCTTGACTACTCACTGATACCATGAGAAAGGTACCTTAAACTTAGGGTGGGCTTAACTTTTATTGCAACTGGAGTTTTGTTTTTTTTTTTTTTTTTTTTTGGAACAAGGTCTTTCCTTTTTTTGCAGGTTGGTTTTTATTGGCATGATCATAGCTCACTGCAATCTCAAACTCCTGGGTTCAAGCAATCCTCATGCTTCAGCCTCCCAAGTAGCTGGGACCACAGGTGTGTGCCACCACACCTGGCTAATTTTTTCTTTTTTGTAGAGATGGGGTCTTGCTATGTTGACCAGGCTGGTCTCGAACTCCTGGCCTCAAACCATCTGGCCACCTCAACCTCCCAAAGTGCTGGAATTACAGGCATGGGCTACCATGGCTGGCTGCTTTTTTTTTTTTTTAAAGACTAAAAGGAGGTGCCATTAATAATTACACCAGGACAACAGGTGTAAGCCAGGAAGCATGGTCATCAGTTGGGAAGGTGGGGAAGGGTGGTATGTAAAATCACCACAGAATCAGGAAAGGGCTGTAAAAAAGTTTCTATCCGGCCGGGCGTGGTGCCTCATGCCTGTAATCCCAGCACTTTGGGAGGCTGAGGCAGGTGGATTACTTGAGGTCAGTAGTTTGAGACCAGCTTGGCCAAAACAGTGAAACCCCATCTCTACTAAAAATTCAGAAATTAGCCAGGTGTCATGGTGGGTGCCTGTAATTCCAGCTACTCGGGAGGCTGAGACATAAGAACTGCTTGAACCTGGGAGGCAGAGGCTGCAGTGAGCCAAGATCATGCCATTGCATTCCAGCCTGGGAGACAGAGTGAGACTCCATTTCAAAAATAAATAAATAAATAAAGTTTCTATCCAGTTTTGTCTTAGGTTTGCCCTGCTTTGATCTTAAACCAGGAAACAGTCAACAAATATTAAGTACTTACTACATACCAGGTGCTGGGGTTTTGTATCAGTGGACTAGAAAAGCAGAGAACAATAGTAAACAAACAGTACCACAATTTCTTATTTAAATTTGGTAACTGTGATAAAGGATATGTACAAGGGGCTTGACAGTATATAAAAGAGGATCTCGTCTGGTCTGGAGGTCAGACTTATTAAGTTTTAATTAAAAAGATGGGGGCCGGGCACAGTGGTGGCTCACACCTATGATCCTAGCACTTTGGGAGGCCGAGGCGGATGGATCACCTCAGGTTAGGAGTTCGAAACCAGCCTGGCCAATATGGTGAAACCCCGTCTCTACTAAAAATACAAAAAAATTAGCCAGGCATGGTGCCACACGCCTGTAGTCCCAGGAACTTGGGAGGCTGAGGCATGAGAATCACTTGAACCCAGGAGGTGGATGTTGCAGTGAGCCAAGATCGTGCCATTGCACTCCAGCCTGGGTGACAAGAGTGAAACTCTATCTCAAAAAAAAATTTTGTTTTCAAAAAAAAAAATTTCAAAAAAATTATCCTAAGTTATTTGATGTGTATTAGGCAGGAAATCATATCAGCTCAGAAATCAATTGCACTTATATAAGTGACTCCACTTATCTAAGGTACCTAGAGTAGTTAGATTCATAGACAGAAGGTAGAATGGTGGTTGCCAGGGGCTGTGAGAGGGAGAGAATGGGGAGTTAGTGTTTAATGTGTCCAGAGTTTCAGTTTGGGATGATGGAAAATTCTGTAAATTCATGGTAGTGATGGTGATGGTTGCACAACAATGTGAATATACTTAATACCTCTGAACTATACACTTAAAAATGGTTACAGTGGCAAATTTTATGCTACGTATATTTTACCACAATATAAATGGAGATTTTAATTTTAAAAATTAGGATTTTTTGCTTTTAGAAACCACATAAAATGCCAACATTTCCTCATTTTTCCACCCTCCACATGAATTAATTTTTTCCATATATAGAAGTTACCCACTTAGTTCTTTACCATGCAGTTATTGATTTTTCTTAAAATTTACAATTTTTTTTTTTTTTTTTTTTTTTT